CACGCTCCCTGAATGTTTCTTCAACATGAACATTTTTAACAATCTTGTTAGCATTCTATCATAAATTCATCTTAAATTATTACTTCCTTCATGTATTTTTGCCCATGCCTGCCCATGTTTAAATCCAGTTTTGTTTTTGTTTTTTTTCCAGCTGAGTCGACTGTCTAAATTGAAACCCATCCTGTCCAAAAGAAACCTTGAGACAGTAATTAATACATGCTTCCATGACATTCAGGCTCAATTACTGCAATGCACTTCTTTTATCAGTCAGACCTCTATAGCACGATTACAACTGGTTCAAAACGCTGCAGCCCAATTTTTAACTGGTACAGGCAAAAGAGAGCACATTACACCAGTTTTGGCCTCCCTGCACTGGCTCCCTGTTCACTTTCAAATTCATTTTCAAATGTTTCTATATGTTTTAAAATCTCTTAACAGTTCTGCCCCCTTCTATCTCACTGATCTGCTGCAGCCATATGTCCCACAGTGCCTTCTGAGGTCAGTGAACAAGTTATTTTATTGGTTCCAGGAACTCGTCTTAAGCTCAGAGGTGACAAAGCCTTCTCTGTTGCAGGTCCAAAACTGTGGAATGAGTTACCACTGCATGTCAGGCAGGCTCCCTCTTTCACTGGTTTTAAGTCTCATTTGAAAACTCACTGGCTTTTGACACAGTGTGATTTGTTTTTAACTTGTCTGTATTATATAATGTTAGTCATTTAGTTCTTATCTTTATCTATTTGGATCTATGTATTGTATCCTGTGTCCTTTGCTTGTTTTGTTTTTGCTGTACAGTACTTTGGTTGGCCTTGTTGCTGTTTTAAGAGCTTTATTAATAAAATGAAATGGTATGGTATGGTATGGTATGGTATGGTATGGTATGGTATGGTATGGTATGGTATGGTTTGGTGTGGTGTGGTGTGGTGTGGTGTGGTGTGGTGTGGTGTGGTATGATATGGTATGGTATGGTATGGTATGGTATGGTATGGTATGGTATGGTATGGTATGGTATGATATGATATGATATGATATGATATGGTATGGTGTGGTGTGTATGGTATGATATGGTATGGTATGGTATGATTTGGTATGGTGTGGTGTGTATGGTATGATATGGTATGGTATAGTATGATATGGTATGGTATGATATGGTATGGTATGGTATGGTATGGCGTGGTATGGTATGGTATGATATGGTATGGTATGGTATGGTATGGTATGGTATGGTATGGTACGGTATGGTATGGTATGATATGGTATGGTATGGTATGGTATGGTACGGTATGGTATGGTATGGTATGATATGGTATGGTATGGTATGGTATGGTATGATATGGTATGGTATGGTATGGTATGGTATGGTATGGTATGGTATGGTA